AATTCTATTTTGTAATTGTGTGATAACTGCCGGAGCTCTTCCTTAAGTAAGTAAACTTCCTCTTGGCGCCTCTTAGTCTGAAATCTTCTGTGACAGAGTAATTCACCCCTTGAGAAAAGAAAGCAGAAATGCAAGGTCCCAGGATGAAATGTTCAAATAACATCTGCAGATCTTTTTATATTTTTTTGGAGACAGAGTCACACTCTGTTGCCCAGGCTACAGTGCCGTGGCGTCAGCCTAGCTCACAGCAACCTCAAATTGCTGGGCTCAAGCAATCCTTCTGCCTCAACCTCCCCAGTAGCTGGGACTACAGGCATGCGCCACCATGCCCGGCTAATTTTTTCTATATATATGTTTTAGTTGTCCAGCTAATTTCTTTCTATTTTTAGTAGAGATGGGGTCTCACTCTTGCTCAGGCTGGCTTTGAACTCCTGACCTCGAGCGATCCTCCCACCTTGGCCTCCCAGAGTGCTAGGATTACAGGCGTGAGCCACTGCTGGCCAACATGTACAAATCTTGCAATCACGCACTAAGACTTAGTGCGGTGTCTGCCGGCCGTGTGGTCAGTGCACGCTGGAAGCTGCTGCTGTCATTATCTTTATCTGCTTTCGGAGGTCATTCAGACTCCACGGATGCTTTCTTGCAGACCCTGGTTTTAGTTCTTCCTGGGAACTAGGTGCAGAAGGGTAGACTTCTGAATGGTTGTGATCTTCCGTCTCAGGAAAGGAGCGGGAGGGCGATGCCATGTTTTGTGTTTTGGAGCAGCGTCCTTACTTCTGGGCAGAGCAGGGTCTCCAGCACCCTCCAGGGCTACCTGGGCACCCCTGGCACTCAGATTGGTTATTAAATTAGAGTTTGAGGCCTCTAAACATTCTTCATCCTCTTTGAAGGAGCTACAATTAACGTCTCCCCAGCAGCTCAGAAGAACTTGGTTGCTAAGGCAGCAGACCTTTAAAGGCAGTCTGTCAATTTCTGCCAAAAGAGAGAAAAATAGTAAACATTCACAATCAAAGAAAATTGATTATTTTTCAGCTTCCAACTTTCGTGCCGCAGCAAGGTTCCTTGTTCATCGGTGTCCGTTTAATTTTTTATTTAATCTTCATAAATCATCCGAAGGCATTATTTAAGAGAATAATGAGGCCTTTTCCAAGCCTAACGCCTGGCAATTCAAAACACAGAGATGTCCGGGGCACGGCTGGGCTGCCGTATTTGTGGCCGGGGTTCTGTGAGTGTGCGGGGGCCGCTGAGGAAGGTACAGAGCGCCCAGCCGCCCGGCTGTTGGTTTGGACAGCAGCCAGGGAAGGTGGTGGTGGATCCACGGAAGGATCTTGACTCATTCAGCATTTGTTAGCACCTCGCGTGTGCCAGGCCCTGGTTGCACTGTTGGGCTCCTGCCCTGTGGCCCAGCCAGACGTCACTGAGACGTCCTTCTGGTGGGGAAGACATGACAAGAAACCGAGAGATCCCGATACGGGGGCTGTGGGCGTTCAAAGCCCAGGACCCAGCCTGGGACTGGGAAGGCCGCCCAGAGCGGCTGTGGGGCTCACCAAGCCCTTGAGGACACAGCGTGCCAGCCCCACTCTGGCACGGGCGGGGTGTCCCCGGCAGGGTCCTCCTGTGTGCAAGTGCTGAAAAGTGCCCGGGGACTGAAAGTGCGTCCATGTGGCCGCAGGGCCTCATTAGCTGTGCAGCTCGGTCCCAGCGTGGTGGCAGGACAGTGGAGAGCCACTGGAGGGCTTGGAACTTGCAAAGGCCACAGCCAGATTTGCATATCCCAGCCCTTGGGGAAGCCATCTGATTTGCCTTCGAGTTAACTGCAGGGCGCTGGGGGCAGTGAGCATGTGGTTGGAAGGGGCAAGGAGGCTGCGGGGAGGGCTGGGTGCCTCAGGGGGTGTCTTGGCCTGGGTTCCTTTGTCACTTCCAGCATGTAGACCTTGGGTAGGTTATTTAACCCGAATCCCAGGCTTCTCAACTGTGAAACAGGGATGATGGCAGTACCCACCTCACAGAGTTGGCACAGGGGCTAATAACAGCCTAATTCAGGAATAGCCCGGAGACTGTCACTCTGCACATGGTGTGCTCTGCATCTTGGCTGATACTGCATGACAGTGCTGCCCTCCTTGTGTTTCCGTGAGTACTGCCTGAAAGGGCCACCAGTGTCCAGTATGCCACCTGCTCCCTGAGTGACCCAATGTTAACTCAGGACGGAACTTGGACCTCTCGTGGAACCAGACTCCTCTGTCTTTCCCATGTCTCTCAGACTGCAGTGGGAAGGGACTCTCGAGTAGAGCCCGGGACCCTCCTTCCTGCTCTGACTGCTGCATGCCAAGCCCGGTCCTAGGTCAGGGCCACCTCTTCGAGGCCGGTGTGGCCCTCCAGCTCCAGCTGGGCCTGAGCGCTGGCCTTGGGCCACACGCTGGTCAGAGGCCCTCATCCAGGTCCATGCGGTTGGGGATTTCAGCCTCTGGGTGTATCCAGGAGGTATCTCACCCCATCCATGGGGGTTCAAAAGACTCTGCCCGGAGCCAGCTTAGGGGCCTCAGACTCGTCAGCTCATTCCCCAGGGAGGCGGGAGGCCCTGGTGCTCGGTGCCAGGCACTGAGAACATAGCCGGCAGCAGGACAGGTGTGGCTGGGGAGAGATAAAAACAGGCAATGTGAGTCAACCAGACACTTTCCAGGAGTTTAAGAGCTGGGGGGAAAGGATGGGATGAGAAGTGGTTCAGTCGGGCAGCTGGCACTCCCCGAGCTGGTGAGTAGGAAGGAACCCCTGAGGGGGTGACAGTTAAGTCACAGCCCGGATAAGGAACAGCAAGAGGTTTGCAGCCCACTCGTGTCTTCAGAGGGCACACGGAGACACTGGTCTCTTGCAGGTTTGGTGTCTGGGGCGGGATGATGGGCTGTCCCACGTGTCTGGTTCCCTGAGGCGTCAGAGCAACAGGGCTTTGGGATGTCGCCCCACTTGGCTCTCTTGGATTGGGAGCACTTTGAGGGCAGTTCATGAGTCACTTTGGGGGGCAGGTCACCCTGCCGGGCCCCATCGTGAATCCACCCAGGGTCTGCTGGGCTTGACGCAAAGTCTCCAGAGGCCTCTGCTGGGAAAGGCTCCAGCCAACAAACGAGGACTACCAAAGAGCCCCAAAAAGCACCCAGGGCCTGAATGTATGCGCTCGTGTTAGGTTTCTTACTACTTGCTAATAAGATATGCAAATGATCAGGGCTGTGAAATCTTAGCCACATTCCATCTTCTGCTTAATTAGCATTTAATTGTAATCTGATTTTAATTTTTTCACACTGGCACCCTAATTAAATGTTAGGGTGTTAGTCCTAACAATTAAATTATATTGGCAAATAGAGTCTTCAAGAAACTTGACCTTTTCCAAGCCAGGGCTGTCTCTAGCTAGATGCAGACGTTAATTAGACTCTGCAAGATGCTGCTCCTAGGCCTCACCGTGCGCCCATTTCAGTGTTTCCTTGTGGTTATGGACCTGGATCCAGACGGGGCACCCGCAGCGAGGGACTGGGCACCCCCCCCCCGCCCCCTCGCAGGCGGAGGTGACCGTGAAGCGGTCTGCAGTGAGCTGACTTAGCCCCGGCACAGCTGTGCGTGCTGACTGCTCTGGGGAGGTTAGGTTTGGAGTTGGGTCTGGAGCCTCAAGTACTCCTTGAAGTGGTTTCTCCTCTAGTCTCAGCGATGTCAGTTCTTCAACTTGTGATTCTCAAGTGATGATCACTGGGAAAGCTGGTACCCGAGCAAGTCACATGGAGTCCAGAGGTGCCACCACATTGCACAGCAGCACTTGTGGGGGTCACAGTGAGATCAGGCGACTGGGGCAGGAGGCATTGGCAGCGCTGGCCGGGCAGGGTTCTGAGAATGTTCTGGGGGGGGGTGGGCAGGAGACAGAACCCGGAGAAGCAGTTTGCCGAGAGCGAGCAGGTGCTCAGAAGAAAAACAAAAGCACCGGGGTGTGACCACTCACGGCCTGGCTCTGAAACGTGGATGGCCTCTGTTAAGAAGGAGGACAAGACAACTGTGTCCTTCCTGCCCCGTCACACACACAGTGTGGCCATGTGGAGCCCCTGCCCAGGTAGAAGACAGAGCATCCTTGCTCTTGAGTGACCTTGGAGGTCCTGACTCAGGCCAGGCCACTCTCCGGGCTGCTCCAAGCCCAGCCATCCCTCGGCTATTTGCGAAAGGCCCTGGCCTTTCGTTTTCCTGGGGTTGGTGCCCTGTGCTGTTTCATGCCTTTACTTGTGCCTGCCAGTGCAAACAGGTAACGTGATTGCAACCCCACAGTGGGAATTGCCTGAACGGTCACACAATGGCAGTATTGCTAGCCACCTCGGCAGGGCGCTCACCGGCCGCGCAGCCTTGCCCGGGCCGCACTCCAGTCCGCGATCCGGTCGCTCTGGCGTGATGCGGAGAGCCTGAAAGCGCCGAGAGCTTGCTCCACCTTGCAGGCGGCCTGACTTACCGTGTAAGTCAGAGTAGGCGACGTACACATAGGTGTTTTCGCGACCTTAGTTTTAAATGTTCACAATTTTATTTTGATAAATGAAAAATTAGAAAAGTCAAGTTTTGCTGCTAACGCTAATGCCGGCGCTCAGCCGTGCGCGTGCGTCTGTGGCTGCCGCCTGTAGTTGACGCTCGTTCCAAAGTGGTTAAACAGAAGCCTTGCTGCTCTCTAAGCTTTTCCTCTTTTTTTTGTTTTTTGTTCTTTTCTGTACAAGTCTTTCTCCGTCTGTCTTAGGGCCACTCCCATCTGTCACTCAAACTCTGTCCTTCGCTAAGTCGGAGCCGTGCGAGTTCAGTCGCCCGCACTTGTGAGGCAGCTACTTGTGCACAGCCCAGCGCGTGCTGGGTCCCGAGGAGACGCGCCGCCGGTCACGGTGGCGGCTTCTCCGTTGTCTTCTCACGAGCGCGGGCCGGAAGCCGCCGCGGCGACGCGTGCATTTGGCCCGGCCGGTCTGAACCGTTTTCTGCCCCGTCTCTCCGGCCAGGTTTTCCGGACAGACTTGATCACTGCCATGAAGATCCCAGACTCGTGCCAGCTCAGCCCCGATGACTACTACATCCTGGCCGACCCGTGGCGGCAGGAGTGGGAGAAAGGCGTGCAGGTGCCCGCCGGGGCGGAGGCCATTCCGGAGCCCGTGGTGAGGTGAGCCGGGCGGCCCGGGCGGGGGGCCGTCGGGGTCGGGGCGGAAGGGGAGGCCGCTTCCCGGGTGAGGGACCCACCAGTCCTGGGACTCCCTTCTGCCCGTCTCTATTCCGCAATCGATTCTCTTGTCTGATAAACCATGGAAAAGTTCCAGAAATACTGGCAGCTTCCCCGAGGGGGTAAGGGCTTGGGCTTTGCTCTAGAGCCAGAATGCTTGGGTTCAGATCGCCACTCACTTTCAGCGTGACTGTGGACCGGAAGTGTCACGTCTCTGGGCCTCAGTTTTCTTGTCTGTGAAATGGGCATGATAATAATAGCTACTCTGCCTCATGCAGTGGTAGCGTTGGGACGATGCAGTGAAGTGACGCATGGAAGTGTGCACCCCGCAAAGACTGGCCGTGGTTATGCCGATGTGGATCTGATCAGGGAGTTCTGGAGACTTTTAACTAGTCTTTAAGACAGGGGTGAGCCATGCTCTTGGCTTCCTGAACCTTTTAAGAGCCCTTTGAGTGGGGAGTCCAGCGCCTGCCACACGGGGGGAGCTCAGGAAGCAGCTGCTGTTCCCAGCCCGAGAGGAGGCTCTCCTGCCGGGGCTGGCTCGGAGAGGAGTCCTCTCTGGGCGTCACAGCCCTCTGCCCTCACGGGGCCGAGACCCCGGCTGCTCTGGTTAGGAGGCAGCCACATGGCCGAGGGTCTTGCCTGCAGCTGCAGAGTTCAGCCAAGTGCTTCTTTATGCACCCTGGGAAACCCTCCAAGTCACATCTCAGGACAAAAGGGTCCCATGTCCTGGCTCCCCCCACCGACCAGCCCGCCTGGTCTGGGCAGCTTGGGTCGTTGGCGGTCCACTCCCAGACTTGGCCGCCGCGGGGCTCGTGCTTGAGCCCGTGTAGGTCAGGCCTGGGGCGAAGAGCACAGCTGTCACCTCCCCTGACATTGGCACTGGAGCTTCCTGGCAGCTGCACCAATGGCTGGTGCTCTTTGGGGACTGGACACTGGGGAGGGCCAGTCCTCCTCCCGTGCCTCCTGAGGGCTGAGTGACCCTCTGAGAATGAGGGGCGCCCCAGGCCTCCCCAGAAGGCTTGGGGGCCCCCTTGGGAGTGTATGCAGGGTGTAGAGCACCATTCATTCTCCACGTCCCCTGCCCAGGGCCAGAATCGGGTCAGGCTCCTGGCAAGTTTTACGCCCTCGCTTCTGCAACCTAAAGACCTGTTGCTCGGCCTCTGTGAGCCTGTTTGCGCCTCTTACAATGGGGGTAACACGGTAACCGCCTGACGGTGTGCGGGAGGGTAAAGGATGAAGTGAGACTAAGCATGCCAAGTCACCGCCATGCGGGCCGGGGCCCAGGGCGACGGGGGAAGGGCAGGCCCCCACCTGAGCAGAGCCAGGTGAGTCCCGATTAGGCTCGGCCCAGCGGTCTGTCCTCTCTACTTGCTGTCAATGTCAGGTGGTTCCGGAAACATCCACTGGCCTGGGTAATTAATTGCAGCTGCTTCCACACCAGTAGCTGGCTTCAGTCTGCCCGTAGGGTGCTTTATCTGTAGACGTCGAGAGGGGGGCACGCGTCCCAACTGCCCTGGCTGCGCTAGGTGCATTCCCAGCACACGCGTGCCTGCGCTGAGCTGACGGGAGCCAGGCGCCCCCGGCCTGCCCGTGCTCTCTGGAGAGGACAGACGGGAGACGGGGCGGGAAGGGTGCTCTCAGACCCATCTCCACGCCCCTCCTTCCTCCCCGCCCCTCCCGCCGGCCGCCCTCCCCTGGAAGCCTGCGCAGCCCCACCGAGTGGGGACTGTTAGAGGAAGCCTGTCCCGAGCGCTCCTGTGCCGGGCCTGTTATGGTCCTCATTTAATGACCGTATTAGCCTTAGAACTCGCATATCGCAGTCCCCATTTCATAGATGAGGAAGTTGGGAAATTCTGGGGAATTCCCTGCATAGCCACCGGGGCCGGTGGGCTGGCCCAGGAAATCACAGGCCACAGGAACAAGCCCCGGGCTGCCCCTGTGAGGCCCCAAGAGAGAGCCTTGTGCCCCGTCACCCTGACATGCCGGTGTGACTGTCCTCCCCCAGCACTGCCCGGTTCCCCTCTGTCCCTCCCTCCCTGGCCTCGGGGCAGGTCGTCCCTCCTGCTGGTCTGACGTCTGGCTGAGCTATGAGAGCCTGTCTCGCCCTCCAGGCTAGGAAATGAATGAGGGCCTTTCATGTCCCCTCCTCGTGGCCAGAAGTCTCAGCCTAGGGCAAAGCCAGCCTCTGGTGTCTGGTCTTCTGAGATAGCGCCCTCCCCCTCCCAGCTGACCTCTGTCCTGCTGATGAGGCCTTGGCCTGGGGTCAGGTGAGCCCACACCTGACGGGAAAACCTCACTCCCTAGCCAGAGCCAGAAGGGCGCAGACAGGTGGAGACGAGAGACCTAGGAAGCACAGAAAACGCCTCCTCTGTGAGTCCCCAAACCCTGGCTCCCCAGAGAAGGGGACAGTGATCTCGGCCTCAAGGGGCCTGGCCAGGTGGCAGCTGGCGAGGCAGGCAGGCTCGGGCAGTGACGCCATGCTGGCAGGTGGTGGCCATTCCACCAGAGGCTGCCCCAAAGCCACATGTGCTTAGGGCACAAACAAAGCCAGGTCACAACCTAAGCACGCAGCATGTGCTTAGGGCACAAACAAAGCCAGGTCACAACCAAATTACAGGCTGCGCTTTTTTTTTTTTAAGAATATGTTAATTCAAATGACAGTTTCATGGGGAAAGGCAGAATTTCGTCAGACTGAAGAGTACTGGTCTTGCCTCTGTTTGGAACTGTCTGCTGGTGCGGGAAGCAGACGTCATCCTTCCCTGAGACCTTCCTTGACACGGGCCTCTTGTGTGTGTGCAATGAGGGGGGGGCGCGTCTTCTCCCCTTCATCCTTCCTGCCCCTCTCGCTAACGCCTGGGAGCCCAGGAGCCCTCCCCGCAGCTCAGCCACGTCCCCGTGCCACCTAGGGTCCTGTCCTCCCCTTCCTGGTCTCCGCTGAGTCACAGCCCAGGCAGCTCTGCCTCTGACCCCGGGAGGCCTACTGGGCAGGTGAGGGGCCTCCAGCCCTGCAGGGCCGGCTGGAGGAAGCCGGGCTAAGCAATAACCATGGCAACCAGTGGGGGGTGGGAAGAGCTGGCATTTTAACTGGCATCAGGAGCTGAGGACCAGCACAGCTGAGCCAAGGCAGAATGCCCCCCGGGTTCCGTTTCGGGAGAAAGGTGATCTCTGGTGGTCTCAGAATACACACGTGTGCATGTGCACACACGTGCATGCACAGGCATGCATACATGCACATGCAATACATGCACACATGCATGCACACACATGCGCATGCATGCATTCACATGCACACACAGTGGTTACCATGTGCCGGGAGCACTTTTCTAAGAGCTTTACAAGCATTAGTGAGAGGATCACACCCTCTCCCCAGCCATACGAGGCAGGCATTACTATCACGAGCCTGTTCTGTAGGAGAGGGCGCCGGGGCACAGACAGGTGGAGTGAGCCCCGAGCGTCACAGTTGGGTGGAACTCGGCTTCGGTCCTCGCCCGCAGCCAGGGCCATTCCAGGCTGTTGCAGAGGCAGGGCCGTGGCCCTGCGGGAGGCTGAGCCGAGGTGGTCCTGGGACTGCGGCAGGCGCATCTGTGTGTCCAGGGGCTTTGGCCTCCGTCCCGGTGGGGGAGGTGAGGGTGGAGCCCTGCCAGGTGACAGTGTCCGGGAGAAGGACGAGGCCAAGGGCAGCACCGGTCCCTGTGGCAGTGGACCTTTTGTCTGGATCGGGTCACCCGGGCCGCAGCAGTGATCCTCCTGACCCCAGAGGGGAGACACGGTCTTAGTTCCCCTCGAGGCCATGGGGCTTTCGGGCTGCTGGTGAGGAGGGCCCGGGCCTTGGGAAGGTGTGTGCAGTGTCCCGGCCCCTCCCGGCCTGGAGTTGGACTGGCCATCGTGCACTTGCCCTTCACCTCACAGGAGGTCCTCTGTGCTCAGACTTCTTGCCTGCGGTCATCTGCGTCCCGTGGGGTGGGTGGATGGTGGAGGAGGAAGGGAAGGAGGGTGGCAGGAGGGGCCGCGCTTGGAATCGAAGTCTCACACCTCACACTTGCCCACCAGCTCCTCGCTGGGCTGGCCAACGCCCGGGGGCCCCTGCGGTGGCCGCCGAGGGCCCTCTCTTCATGACACCCTGTCTTGATTTCCTAGGATCCTCCCACCGCTGGAAGGCCCCTCTACCCCCGTGTCCCCGAGTGGCTCTGTGCCGGGCGAGGGCTCCCAGCCCGAGTGGCCAGGGGGCAGCCGCTATGACCTGGACGAGATTGACGCCTACTGGCTGGAGCTCATCAACTCGGAGCTCAAGGAGATGGGTGGGTGACCCCCTGCGCTAACAGCGGGACCAGGCAGGGCAGGGGGGCTTCTTCCCACCCCTGGCATCTTCACCCGCAGAAGGGCAGCAGCCAGGACCGGGCTGGGGTACTGCGTGGACCTGGGGGGGGGTCCCCACTGCATTGCTGACTGGTGAGGTCACTCGTTAGTGCCTCTGCCTCCTGAAGTTTCTCCAGCTGTCAGGTGGGGGCAGCAGTGGCTCGGGATTGTAGTCAGTACGAGGGTTACGTGGGGAGTGAGTGAGCACGCAGGTGAGTTGGGGAGACAGGTGGGGCTGGGGTCAGGAGTCATGGGCCTGCTGGAGCTCGCCAGCACACCCCAGGACGGCGGCTTTGCCATGTCCAGCCACCCCAGGCGGGCCCGCACACAGCACACGCAGTGGCTGCCCCGTGGAGCCGGAGACGCTTCCGTGGTGTCTGCACACACAGGTGTCCCTGTGGTCACAGGCAGGCCATCTGCGGGCAGAGCCCCACGACAGGCCGGGGCCCTTGAGGCTGAGTGGTCCGGCCGGCAGAGGCTGGCGCCGAGCCCTGGGCAGAGGGCCCTCCGGCCACGCAGCGGAGGGCGGGCCCTCCCACAGCCCCGTCCGGCCCCCAGCCCGGGTCCTGCCCCGCCCCTGACGCCCCGTGCCGCCCGCAGAGAGGCCGGAGCTGGACGAGCTGACGCTGGAGCGCGTGCTGGAGGAGCTGGAGACGCTGTGCCACCAGAACATGGCGCGGGCCATCGAGACGCAGGAGGGGCTGGGCATCGAGTACGACGAGGACGTGGTCTGCGACGTGTGCCGCTCCCCCGAGGGCGAGGACGGCAACGAGATGGTCTTCTGTGACAAGTGCAACGTCTGCGTGCACCAGGTGGGCGGGCAGGCGGGGCCTGCCTGGGTGTGGGCGCCTCGGGCAGAGGCCCTGCGGAGGGAGACGGGGAGGAAGGGGACAGGGGACGGCGCGAGTACCCCATGCTGCCAGGGCTGCCGGGCCCCTCGGCTCAGACGCGAGCAAACGCCCCTTGGGTGGTCCTTCTGTCCTCTCCCCGGCAGACCCTCCCGCGTGCGCACCCGCCCCGTGCCGCCTCCTCTCCTCGCGTCCTCGCGTCCTGAACTGAACACACAAAGAGGCGCGCAGGGCAGCGGCTGAGCGAAGCCGTGAGCTGGGCTGCCTGGGTTCGAATCATGGCTCTGCCCTTCATGAGCTGTGTGACTTTGGGCGTGTTTCTTAACTGCTCTGGGCCTCTCTTTCTTCACTGTAAGCAAAAGTGGATCGCTGTGAGGATTAAGTTGTTTACTGTGTGTTCTCTGCTTAGAGCAGTACAGTAAGGGCTGGAAGCATCTGTCACCGTTACTGGAGTTACTAACCGGCGGCAGCCTGGCCAGGCCCCCTCAGGATTAAGGCTCGAGGTCTTGGGCGTCTCTGGCCCTTGTCTGCAGAGGACCTGACTCTGAGGCTGTCCTCACCGCGGTTGCTGGAATAGCCCCTCGGGGCTCAGAGCCCGAGGCTCCCCCAGACTGGCGTTGCAGCCTCCTGGGTGGGCCGTGCGCCCCACGTTCACACACGTCCCTGAACCCGGCCGCTCTTCAGTCCCTGTGTCTTTCCCAAGTTGGAGGCGTGAGCAGGAGGAGCCCCGTCCCCACTTACCCGCGCGACAGAGAGGAGGACAGCTCTGGGCCTCGTTCCCAGGAGGTGTAGACCCCCAATTTTGCCTCTGTTTTGAGGGGCCCTGAGCCTCGTGAGGCCCTTGGCGGGCAGGAACCTCTGGCTCAATGACTCTCCTCCCAGCAGAGGGCAGACCTGAGCCCTGTCACAGAGGCCTGGGAAGGGGACATTTCAGTCCCACAGGCAGGCGCAGGGCTTTCCCTTCCGGGCCTGACAGCTGCTTAGGAGCTCTTCTGGCCAGAGACTGGGGGTGCACAGCCTGTGGCCCGGGCATGGGGCCGCTGGCCACTGACCAGACACGTGGCCAGTGTGGCTCACACCACCCTGCCCCCGCAGGCCTGCTACGGGATCCTCAAGGTGCCCATGGGCAGCTGGCTGTGCCGGACGTGCGCCCTGGGTGTCCAGCCGAAGTGCCTGCTCTGCCCCAAGCGAGGAGGAGCCTTGAAGCCCACCAGGAGCGGGACCAAGTGGGTGCACGTCAGCTGCGCCCTGTGGATCCCGGAGGTGGGTAGGCGTCGGGGGTGCGGCAGCCCCGGGGGTCACCGTGGGGAAGTGGGTCTGCGTGGGACCCGGGCGTCTGAGCGCTGGGGAAAGAGGGCGATGGGCCACCTTAAAACGCGGGCTCTCAGGTGCCAGGCCAGGGAAGGAGGCAGCAGCCCACAGAGAACTTTGCCTTTGAACTTGGGCAGAGCTCAAGTAGTGGTTTCTATGGGAAAAGGGCAGATGGGCCACTGGGGCACAGGGGAGGTCGGTGTATCTAGATGGAAGTCAGGCAGCGGACGGCAGGGTTGTGGGGTCCACCCAAACCTAGGCAGTGGTTCCTGCCCAAGTCAAGCTGCATGTTGAGAACACAGATAAGCCAGCTGAGCTCAAAGAAAAGCAGGCAGTACGCCGAAGTCAGAGGTGGGCAGTGCTACGGCTGTGGCTGGGACGCAGGGCGGGCCAGGGCAGCAGGCCGGGTCCACGGTGGGTGAGTCAGCAGAAGCCCTGTGCTCCCGGGGGCTGTCCGGTTCATTGGAAATGTGCAATGCTGGAGTTCACTGGAGTTTCAGCCCCAGCCCTGCTGGTGCCCTGACCCAGATCGAGGCCTAGGAGGAAGGAGGCCCTCGCCTGCCTGGGCTCACGGTCCGAAGGTCCCTGCTGGGCCGCGTCACAGGCTCTGGTGATGGCAGTCGTTTCTGTCAGCAGTGGTCACATGCTCCCAGACCAGCATCTCAAGGGCTGGGACTGAGTGTGCCCTGGGTTGGCCACAGCAGAGACAGAACCAATCAGGACCCCATCACGAGGGTCCCTGGCTCAGGACCTGGGGAGAGGGGACCCTGTTTCCCTTCTCAGGCATGGGCGGTGGGAGGCAGATGTGCTCTGTCCCTGGGCCGAGGGGGGCCATGCCCAGCAGACGTGGGCACAGTTGCAGGCCTGCGCCCACGGAAGGAGCGAGGCAGTGGCACAGCCCTCTGACCAGGGGAGCCCTACAGACCCCCGAGAGGAGATGCTGCCGTGAGGCTTTGCCTTGGTGCCCAGAAAAGTAGATAAAATTAATGCAAGTTAAAACAAGAACTCTGAAGATGTTATTAACCAAGGTCCGAGGTACAGACAGGAGGGAGACCTTGCGTGTATGCGTGCGGTGTGTGTGTGCACGCGTGGGCACACGCATCTAGCCAGCTACACCCTGACACGCACTCTCACATTCATAGGTAGTTTAAGATGCGTCACAGATGAGCACGTGTTCAACCAGCGGTCAGCCTGGAAGAGCTGGGAGGGATGCAGACCTTTGAGCCGTGTTTGCGTGGTGTCGGGGAGGACTTGGGGTTCGGGGGCTCAGCCCCTGCCCTGCCTGCCCGCCGCCTGTGTTCAGCAGACAGCCCTCCCCTCGGGCATCTCTGGCGGCAGGCTGGGGACGAGGGGCCTGACGCAGCTCCCTGTGTCCTGCCCAGGTCAGCATCGGCTGCCCAGAGAAGATGGAGCCCATCACCAAGATCTCGCACATCCCAGCCAGCCGCTGGGCTCTGTCCTGCAGCCTCTGCAAGGAGTGCACGGGCACCTGCATCCAGGTACCGACCCAGGGCCAGCTGCAGAGAGAGGTGTGCCTCCAGCACCCTCAAAACCAGCTGCTGCCTCCTCCCTTCGCCTGCCCGCCTGCTGGGGTGTGGGGACATCGCACCATGCCCAGGTCCTAGGCAGTGGGGACGGCCCGGGAAGCTGAGGCTCACCGCCCATCACAGTGCTGAGAACTCTGGCTGTCCCTGAGAGCAGGTGTCTGGGCTCCATGAATACATTGGTCTTACTTCTTTTTTTTTTTTGAGACAGAGTCTCACTCTGTTGTCCGAGCTAGAGTGCCGTGGTGTCAGCCTAGCTCACAGCAACCTCAGACTCCTGGGCTCAAGCGATCCTCCTGCCTCGGTCTCCCAAGTAGCTGGGACTACAGGCATGCGCCACCATGCCCGGCTAATTTTTTCTATATATATTTTAGTTATTCAAGTAATTTCTTTCCCTTTCTAGTAGAGATGGGGTCTCGCTCTTGCTAAGGCTGCTTTCAAGCTCCTGACCTTGAGCGATCCTCCCTCCTCAGCCTCCCAGAGTGCTAGGATTACAGGCGTGAGCCTCCGCACCCAGCCTGCAGTCCCTATTTTATTTTATTATTTTATTTTTTTATTTTATTTTTTATTTTTATTTTTATTTTATTATTATTTTATTTTATTTTATTATTTGTTGCCCTGGCTAGAGTGCCATGGCATCAGGCTAGCTCACAGCAACCTCAAATTCCTGGCTCAAGCAATCCTCCTGCCTCAGCCTCCCGAGTAGCTGGGACTACAGGCACGTGCCACCATGCCCAGCTAATTTTTTCTATATATGTTTTTAGTTGTCCAGCTAATTTCTTTGTTTTTTTAAGGTAGAGACGGGGTCTCATTTTGCTCAGGCTGGTCTCGAACTCCTGATCTTGAGCGACTCTCCCAGACTGGCCTCCCAGAGTGCTGGGATTACCGGCATGAGCCACCGTGCCCGGCCTGTAGTCCCCCTTTTCTTTTCCCTTCTCTTCTCTTCTTTCTTTCTCTTCTCTTCTCTTCTCTTCTCTTCTCTTCTTTCTTCTCTTCTCTTCTCCCTCCCTCTCCCTCCCCTCCCTCCCCTCCCTCCCCTCCTCCCTCCCCTCCCCAGTCGTTGGCCCAGGCTAGAGTGAGTGCCGTTGCGTTCGCCTAGCTCACAGCAACCTCAACCTGGGCTCAAGCAATCCTGCTGCCTCGGCCTCCAAGTACCTGGGATACCAGGCACGCCACCATGCCCGGCTAATTTTTTCTTATATTATTTTTAGTTGGCCAATTAATTTCTTTCTATTTATAGTAGAGACAGGGTCTTGCTCTTGCTCAGACTAGTCTCGAATTCCTGACCTTGAGCAATCCTCCCACCCTGGCCTCCCAGAGTGCTAGGATTACAGGCATGAGCCACTGCGCCCGGCCTGTAGTCCCCATTTTAGATATCACTACACGAGTACACAAGTTGGTGACCCCATCTTCAGCCTTTCCTTTGATCCCAAAGTCATTTTGCCCATGCAGAAATGCATCTTGTCCCCAGAGGGGTTGCCCAGCTGTCTCCTGATTATTGAATCTGTCCCACCCCAGGGGCCCCAGAGCCCCTCCTTCCCACCTGCCGCAACTTTGTCCGTCAGCGCAGGGTGTCGGGAGTCCGGGCCATGATATTCGGGGTCTCACCCGCACTCTGCATTCTCCGTGGAGCCCCGGGAGAAGCCCCTCTCCCTCCTCCCCTCCACCGGGGCCCCTCCTGACGCCCCCCTCTCCCTCCAGTGCTCCATGCCTTCCTGCGTCACAGCGTTCCACGTCACCTGCGCCTTCGACCACGGCCTGGAAATGCGGACTATATTAGCCGACAACGACGAGGTCAAGTTCAAGTCCTTCTGCCAGGAGCACAGTGACGGGGGCCCGAGGGTGGAGCCCGGGTCGGAGCCTGCGGAGCCCGGCCAGGCCGGCGAGGACCTGGAGAAGGTGACCCTGCGCAAGCAGCGGCTGCAGCAGCTGGAGGAGGACTTCTACGAGCTGGTGGAGCCGGCCGAGGTGGCCGAGCGGCTGGACCTGGCCGAGGCGCTGGTGGACTTCGTCTACCAGTACTGGAAGCTGAAGAGGAAAGCCAACGCCAACCAGCCGCTGCTGACTCCCAAGACCGACGAGGTGGACAACCTGGCCCAGCAGGAGCAGGACGTGCTCTACCGCCGCCTGCGGCTCTTCACGCACCTGCGGCAGGACCTGGAAAGGGTGAGTGTCCTGTCGCCCGGCCCCTCCCGACCGGCCCGAGAGGCTTCCCATGCCACCCCTACTGCCCCGAGCGGCTGGCGCTCACGCCGCGGGCTCTGCCTCGGGGGCCAGCCAAGGCTCTGGGCCTCCGGGCCTCGGCAGCGTGGGGGTGACTGATACTTTACGGAACAGAGAAGCGTCCAGCTGCGGAGTCTCTGAGTCACTCTTGTCCTGGCCCTGTCACCGCCCTGGTGAGGGGGGCCCTGCCCAGGTGGCGAGGCTGGGAGCACCAGAGCTGGGGCAAGGACCCAGGCTTTCAACACCTGTTGCCTCTGGCCTTTCTGGGCTGTGCCCGGGCCTAACACGTGAGCTTCTGTTTAGAATCTAGGCAGGGAAGGAGCTGGTGCTCCCCAAGCTGTCCCCCTCACCTGCGCCAAGAGCCGTGGGCATTAAGGGCAAGGATCCGGCCGGGCGAGGTGGCTCACACCTGTAATCCTAGCACTCTGGGAGGCCGAGGTGGGAGGGTTGCTTGAACTCAGGCATTTGAGACCAGCCTGAGCAAGAGTGAGACCCTGTCTCTACTAAAAATAGAAAAGTTAACTGGGCATGGTGGCGGGTGCCTATTGTCCCAGCTACTGGGGAGGCTGAGACAGGAGGATCGCTTGAGGCCAGGAATTTGAGGTTGGGGTGAGCTAGGCTGAAGCCAGTGCACTCTCGCTAGGCTGATGGGCCCCACAGCCACCATCCTGGACTAAGCCACTATCATCTTTCCCAGCATGCAGCTGGGGGCAGTTCCTGCCAACCCACCCATTCTAGACCCTGTGACTCCTCCTCTCTGGGGTCCTCGGGGTGCTCAGCAGAGAACGGGCACGCGAGTGTGGGCTGGGGAAACAACAGCGGCCTGTGCGGAGTGCACGGATGAGGCCAGGAGATCGCACAAGGCTGGGCTGGTGGATCCAAGTGTGTCTGGAAGCTGCAGAGGTGTTTTAAGAAGGGACTGTCCCACTGCGGCAGGGACTTCCGGCAGACACTTGCCCTGGAGGACGACTCTCAGGGTCTGGAACGTGGGTGGATTGGCAGGAACTGCCCCAGCTGGGTGCTGGGAAACAGGATAGTGGCTCAGTCCAGGATGGCAGCTGTCGGGGCTGAGCGAGATGAAGCAGGACATATCCGGGTCCTTGGTCCAGTCCTCTGAGCCCCAGGGCCTGCTGTGGCCTCTCCTCTCTGGCAGAGTGAGTTCTAGGGTTCCGAGCATGTGGCATCACGTCCCGGTGTCCTCCGTGGGCACAGACACACGGTCTAGGTCTCTCCCTGGCCCATCAGGAAGCAGCCCCGGCTGGAAGCACCAGGGGGCTCTCTGCGGCCTGAGGCTTCTCCAATCTGCGTCTCAGTGGGCGGGTCTGAAAAGCAGGTGTTGTCCTGGTGGGAGGTGGGGACTGGACCCAGCTCAGCTGCCCGGGGGCCTGGTCCAGGGGAAATGACCCTACCGGCCTGGGAGGACACTCGCTACCTGGCAGCCGGCCTGCCCCCGGCTCAGAAGGAGGACGGGCGGGAGGGAACAGATGTCACGGCTCCAGCCAGGGCAGAGGACGAGGCACCTCCAGTGCAGCCGCCACCTCCTGGGCAGCGCGGCCTCCTGTCACGTGTGTCGGGGCCCAGGCACAAGCCCTCCTGAGACCAGAGCTGCTTGCAGAGTTGACCTCGGGCCACCCGAGTCTCCGCCTCTGGGGTCCCCAGTGCAGACTTTCCTCCTGCTGTTGCCCAGACGAGCGTTAGGACCGATGTTCCTGGGCTGTGGCGGCTGGCCCACGGGCCTGGCGGGGTCGTTAGGGCAGTCAGAGGCTGTCACTTCTGTCACCGTCACCTGGAAAGAGAGGCTTGAGGAAGGTCCTCCCAGCCCCGCGGAGCAGACGGGGAAGCCGGGCTCAGAGGGAGGGTGGCAGGGAGCCTTAGAGGACCTGATCCCTAGGCTTGGAGCTGGAATTTGGACCTGAATCGCAGGCAGGACCGGGATGCTGGCTTATTCTCCACTCTAAGTTTCCTGGGCAAAAGCAGCCCCGTGTCAGCCCCCCGCCCGCCCTTTCTCCCCAGTGTCAGCTGCCACAGGTAGGGCCTGGGACTGCACTTGGCTGGCTCTGGGGTCCCAGGGCAGCGAGAGCTGCCACCAGACCCCTTGGGGCAGGGGGCGCAGAGCCTTCCGAAGCCCAGCGTGACCCATCCCACTGCAGGAAGAGGGAGCAGGGCCTACTTTGAAGACGGTGCAGCCCCGTGAGACTCGGGGTGGGGGGGGTTGTCACGTGCTTCCCGAGCAGCCCCCGAGCGAGGCCAGCAGGTGCCAGGTGCCAGCTGAGGGGAGGGGCAGGAACGCGCAGCCTGGCAGGGCTGGGAAGAGGCAGAGGCACCAGCCAGGCCGACCCCCTCGGCCCCACGGCCCCCAGGCCTTTCGGAGCCTCGTGTTGGCGACTTGCGTACGTGGGCAGCACTGAGAACTCCGCCACGGGGGAGGCTTTCTGCACAGACCCGCGGCTGCCGGTGGCCTGGACAGCAGGCCCAGTCTCCAGCCACGGCCCGGGCCAGCGGCGAGAGTGGCCAGCCCATGACTGGGCACGAGGCCAGCTTGGGTGTGGATTCCTCGGAAACCAGGGCAGGGCCTGAGCCTGATCTTGGGCGGCGTGGACTCGCGCCCAGTTCCCGCACTCCCGGCTCTCTGCCCTCCGGCTTCGGTTTCCACTTCGCTGTGTTTCAGTTTCCCTGTCTGTGAAACGGGAATAAGGATCCGTGGTTGCTGTGAGAGTGGGAGACAGCGCTTGGCACAGTGCCCTCCGCTGCTGGTGTGACTGTCACCGCTCTGGCCCCACGAGCCATGTGGCTCTCAGAAGGAGGCTTGCGCTCCGAGGGTGGCTCCGCGTGGGGACCGAAAGGGCCTGGGACACACAGCATCCTCCCAGGCTGATCCCCGCCCTGCCCCCCGCCCTGGGGCCGAGCGGGGATTTTGCTGGGAAAAGCAGGAGCCACCAGCATGAAACCCCGTTTTCCGTTCAGCCCAGATGTGCTTTTCTAAAATTTCGGCCGCAGGCCTTGGCCCTGGCGCCGGCTCGGGCAGGCGTGGCCACTGCAGCCTCCCGGAGTTATTCACGGCTGACAAAAAAATTGCAGCGCTGACATCAGCCCGACAGGCACCGGCTGGCGTCCCCTAGCAACCGCGCTGGCGGGCGGGCGGGCTGTGCGGGACTTGCTGCCTCTGGCTCTGGATCTGTCGCCGGGAGTTTGAGAGCCCGGCCTGGCCTGAGGAGGAGGCCGAGGGTGGAGGCAGCTCTCAGGCACACACCTGCTGGGGGCGCGTGGGAGAGGCTCGGCGAGGAGCGGGTCCTGCCCTCTTCCCACGCCCGCTGCCTGCCTCCCCGTCTCTCGGCCACTCCCTCTCACTCTGTCCAGGTTGTGGGTGCCGTCACACGCAGCCCACCTTGTCCTGGCAGCTCCAGCCTCCAGACCGCTGGCTTTTCAGCCCCCCCACCTCCTGCCTCTGGGGCTTCTCAACCCATCAGTGCCCCCGCCCCACCCGAGCCTGGTCACCACTGGATTGCTCCCACGCCAGTCACCCGGCGATCCCCACACCCTCCCCGGGGACGGCGGACTCCCCTTCACCTGCTCAGGTGTCTCCCAGGCACTCCGCCCTTCTCTGTCCTGCGTCTCCACGCTCACCCCGCGTGGCGTTGGCCCGAGGCCCCTCCCTTGCCTCCTGGCAGAGCCTCACGCAGCAGAGACCACTCTCTGCCCGGGGAACCCCAGCTCCCCAGGAGAGACCCCACAGCAGCAGGTGTCAGGACAGAACCCCATGGAATGCCTGGCGTCTCCATCCCTGCCCCGCCCCTCTCTCAGCAGAGCCCAACCTCCTACCCGCCACCTTCCCTCCAGCAGAGGCCTCTGGGGCCCCTCTCTGTCCTTCCCTCCCGTCTCCTCCCTCTTCCCACAGGGAGCTCTTTCCAGCCCATTCCCTGCAGCCCTGGAATCTCTGTCTCTCCTTCCTCCCCTCCCTAGGTCCCCTCTCACCAGTTTCGTCGTCTGTTTCAGCCTCTCCTGTCCTCAAAAGCAAATCCTCTCTGCCTGTGTCCCTCCAGTCGTGGGTCCCTCCACTCCCATCCCCAAGTCTCCTTTAGTGTTGTCCCTCCCGGTGTTTGCTTGGTGGCTTCCCGCTCCGGCCAGGCTTCCGCTCCCGCCCCTGACACATCACAGAGCCACACCTGGGCCACCAGCAGTGTCCCCTCCACTCCTCCGGCCCTGTCCCCTAGCCCTCGGCAGTGGCTGCCACAGTCAGACCTACTCTTGGTCTTGAAACCCTTTCCTTGTGGTGCTTAATGTTTTGGGTCCCTTGCTCCGTCTCTGGCTGCTCGTTGGCTGCAGGGCTCCTCCCCTCCCTGCTTGCCCGGCCACCTGCCCTCGCCTGCCCTCCTGCCCTCGCCTGCCCGCTCACTCTCAGCTCTTCCGCATCGGGTGGGGGCAGGGGTGGCTCCCGCCAGCACCTCCCACCTGAGCAGATCTGCCAGTCCCCTCAAAGACCGCCAGTCCCAGGCATCTGGTGCCCAACGTGCCGCCGCCTCCCACACCTTCCCCGTGGCTGGTCTCTTCTAGCCAGCGGAGTCGCCCTGCTCCCCTTCTCCGCCCCACGCCAGCCGCTCCCTGCGGAACTTGTTGACATCAAAACAGCCTCATCAAAATGTGGAACCTGTGTTTATCACCAGTCCCTGACCTAGTTATTGAAGACTTTTCTACCTGACCCGTTTTTGTACTGTTAGGCTTTTCTAAGTGAGAATGTTTTCTCCTTATGATCAGAAAATCAAATGACAGTGGAAGGGGCCTGTTAGCCTGGGCGAGATTCTACGGTGTGGTCGTTTCTTTGACCCAAGAGCCATCATGGTAAAGGGACCGTACAGCATCCAGCAGAACGTATTAGTACTAAGACTGGATGTTACCAAGAGTCTCTGGAGAGACTGGAACATACTTGGTGGCCCCAGGGCGAGGCACAAAGACGGGACCAGGGGCCACTGACCTGAGACTGCTGTGTTCTCACGGCAGGAAGCGACGTTCTTCCCCGTCCCCAGTAGGGACGGGAAAGTACAATTATAGGGAGCTGTTAGCCAAATTACTAGAGCTCACCTGGGGCTGGTTCCCACAAGCCAGAATGGGAAGACCTGATGTGATACACAGAGTATTCAGCAGAGACCCCAGAAGGATCAGATCTCAGTAATGGGGCTGAACTAGCCTCCAAAGTAAAGGCTACTTTAGATTTTCCCTAACCTTTTTTATTTTTTCTTTTGAGGCAGAGTCTCGCTTTGTTGCCCAGGCTAGAGTGAGTGCCGTGGCGTCAGCCTAGCTCACAGCAACCTCAAACTCCGGGGCTCAAGCAATCCTCCTGCCTCAGCTTCCCAAGTAACTGGAACTACAGACATGCGCCACCATGCCCGGCTAATTTTTTCTATATATTTTTAGTCAGCCAATTAATTTCTTTCTATTTATAGTAGAGACAGGGTCTCGCTCTTGCTCAGGCTGGTTTCGAACTCCTGACCTCAAGCAATCCTCCCGCCTCGGCCTCCCAGAGTACTGGAATTATAGGCGTGAGCCACCTTGCCCAGCCCAAAAATGAGTTTCAAGGGATTGTTACTGACCCTGGTACAGAAGCCGCTGGAGGAGAGTCTAGGAGCAGGAGGGAAGCAGCCTGACCTACATTTCAAGGAGGTTGCTCTGGGGCAGCACAGGGTCAGCATGGCCCGCTGCCCACGTGAGAGGTGCAGGGAGCCATGAGAAGGGGTTGCTCTCCAGGGCAGGCCGGTGGCCGTGGTGGTGGGCTGGCTGTGGGCACGCAGGAAGAGGAGACGTGTCACCCAGGATGAGTCCCAGGTCTCGGCACTCACCGCTCTGCCAAAACCCTGTGCAGCTGCCCTGGCCTGGCCTCAAGGCCTGCCCCCCATCCCTCGCTGGCCTAGCCTGTCCTCACTGCTCCCTGTCCCCTGTCTCTCAAGCCACCAGGCCTGGCTCTGTGTCTCGCCCCCCTGGCCTTGCCCTGGGCTCCCCCTATGTGATCAGCTCCCACCCCCACGCTGCCTCTTTGTCCAGGAAGCCGTGCTCACTGCCCCGGCTCTAGGCGGGGCTGTCCGGCCCTGTCAGGAGGGGTCAGCATCCACCTGCCCCGCCGGGCAGCAGTCCCCAAGAAGAAAGGGACCCTGGCAGCGTTGCTGACTGCCGAGCCAGGGCCTCGCACAGCACGGGTTCCCAGAGCTGCAGCCGGTGCTTAGGGCGTGTGGGGAGTGCGCTGGTTGGAGGGGGTTGGAGGAGGCCGTGCCAGCGGGCTGGAGCTGGGCCTGGTGCCCACGGGGCAGGCTGGGGTGCACAGCCCGGCGTGGAGTGCCGCAGAGAGCCCATCCTGCGGAGCCTGAGACGAGCACACCTTCACAGCTGGGCTCCGGAAGGAAGGAAAGGAGTGTTCCCACACCCAGGAAAGAAGTCCAGTTATGGTGCCTCCAGGCCAGGAGAAAGGGTGGTCATGTCAGCAGGGTCTGGAACCAGGGGTCACCCCGGGAAGCTTAAGCACGTGAACACTGAACTCGGCCTCAAAGACGGAACCCGCTGGAGCCAGAGCCTCAGCCGGGAAGCCCCAGTGGGACCTGGGGCCCAGCTCTGCAGCTGTGGCAGCTGTGCCTGACACTGGAGGCTCCAGCCCGAGCTGAAGATGCTGCCAGAGCAAGGAGGTGTCTCAGGGAGGGGCCCAGTCTTGGCCCCAGAAGTGTGAGAAGTGTGGCCTTGCCCGAGAGCAGCTGGCGCGGGCTGGCGCAGTGGGGCAAGGTGCCAGGCGGGCAGCGGCACGGTCTGTCCTTCAGGTGCTTCCAGACTCCCTGGAGGTTGGGTGCCCGTCCCAGGGGCTCAGCGAGCTGGTCTCCAAACCCTAGGGGCTCTTCCCAGCTGGCCTGAGTCCGTCAGAGAGACCTCTGCCCTTCCTGCTGCGTCCCGTGGCTGTGGCTGAGTGAGTGCGGCCACATGCATGGGGGAGCCCTGGCCGGAGCAGCCGGGGCCTGGCCCGGGTCCCAAACCCGCAGGCAGACGTGGATTGGCTGCAGGCTGGGCACAGGTGGGTGGGGACTGCCTGTCCGCTCCAAGCTGTCCTGCTGGAGCTGTCAGGCTCCAAGTACCGGGGCCACTCCTGGCTCGGGACAGGTATGAGATCTTGCCGTGGTGCGTGTGTCTGAAGACTGAAGAGTGTCTTGGCCAGGAAAGACAGCCTTGGACAGAAGGCAGAGGGATGGGCCTGGTGACCTGGAGAGGCCCTGACAAGCTGTGGGCACTGTGGATTTAGAGGAGAGCAACCATGTTGCAAGGGCCTTAGGACGCAGGATGGCTGAGCTGACCAGACCCTCTCTGCGGCTACGCCGGCCCAGCCAGGGACCGTGGGGCCAAGACTGTGCTTGGCCCTGGGTTTGGATCGGACGTGGGGCACGAGCTGAGGACGCACTCAGGGTCAGGGAACTGACTCCCGATGTCCTGGGCAGGACAAGCGGCGGTGGCAGCCTGTGCCTTGGGCACCGCGAGGCCCCCGCGGCCGGGAGGTATGGGGTGGCTGCCCGCGGCGAGTGAGGCGGAAAACCTATCTGTGTTTCCCCAGGTTAGAAACCTGTGCTACATGGTGACGCGGCGCGAGAGGACGAAGCACGCCCTCTGCAAGCTGCAGGAGCAGATCTTCCACCTGCAGATGAAGCTCATCGAGCAGGACCTATGTCGAGGTAGGCGCCCGCCCCGCCCCTGCGCTGCCCCGAACAGGTGTCTTCGGAGCCTGGCTGGACGTGCGTGTGGGACCAGGGGCTGCTGGCCGCCACCGTGCCCTCTGCTCTACAGTTGGCGGGTGGGGCTGCAGGGCCCTGGTCGCATGTTGGCGCGGGGGAGCCAGAGGTGGGAATGTGGCGTCAGGGCTGCCCGCAGGGAGCAGGGACTCCCTGGTTGAGTGGGCCACGGCGCCGGGACAGGTCGCGTGTGGGCAGGTGCAGGCCTGGAGGCCCGGTGGCTCTGCGCTGGCGCCGAGGCGGGGAGGGCCCGAAGGTGGCGGCCCGAAGGTGGCGCGCTTCCCCGGACCCTGCTGTGCCTGGGAGTGGATGCTGAAGGAGGCAGCTGCCCCAGAGATGGGACGGGCCCGTGTGTTCTCCCTCCGACCCCGTCTGACGGGATTCAGGCCCCGCGTCAGCAGCGTTTTTCTCTCTTTTCCGCTTACTCTCCTGCCACTCCGTGCATTTAACAAATCTGGAAATTAAAGACCAAAGAAACTCTGGCGTTGATCTCGTCTGCTAGTTGTAGATACGGCCAGACACAGGCCCCTTCCTGGGGTGTGCAGAAGGGCAATGCTGAACCCCCAAAACTGTGTCCTCGTGTTGGATTTACATGGAGCAGAAATCGTTGGCTGGGCCCGACGTGGTGGCTCGCACTTGTAATCCCAGCACTCTGAGAGGCAGCGGCGGGAAGGTTGTTCAAGGTCAGGAGTTCGAGACCAGCCTGAGCAAGAGCGAGACCCCGTCTCTACTAAAAACAGAAAGAAATTAATTGGCCAACTACAAATAAATAGAAGGTGGCGCATGCCTGTAATCCCAGCTACTGGGGAGGCTGAGGCAGAAGGATCACTTGAGCCCAGGAGTTTGAGGCTGCTGTGAGCTAGGCTGACTCCACAGCACTGTAGCCTGGGAAGCAGAGTGAGACTCTGTCTCAAAACAAAACAAACAGACAAACAAAAAACAGAAGACATCGCCGGCTGCAGAGAGCTTCTGAGCCAGGGCCTGCCGCTGCCAGGTCGGACCCTGAGCGGAGTGGAGCAGACGTGGACCTCTGCTGCCCTCCCCCACCCACCCCCGCGCCTCGGAGCTGAGCTGCCTGCGTTGTGCTTTGGGATCACCCCCCACTTAGCTCAGGGCCCGGGTTGGGGCAGGCGACAGCCACGTGGAGCTCACCACGCACCGACGACTGCGGCCGCTTCCTGGCTGCTGCTGCGGGAGCTTCCCAGGCTCTGTCTGCTGTTTATTCATCGGGCCAGCAGTAGCTGAGCATAGAGAGGGCTCCTGCCCTCGGGGAGCTCGCCCCTTGCAGAAATACGGAAGCAGCGTCCCAGGGTCTGCAGGCCCTGCCAGTGCAATGACAGACATCAGGGACGGCTTCCTGGAAGCAGCGATGCTGGAGCGACATCTCGGGCTTCCTAGCGCTCGGCTGTGGCCACACATCCACCTGCAGAAGCAGAGGCCTGCGAAGCGCCCGGAGTCACAGAAGCAGAGAGTGGCAAGCCACGAGCGCGAGCACAGGGTTCCGGAAGCATGGCCGCGATCCTGGGGAGTCCGCATCGCCACATCGGGCCTGGGGACACGCACGCTGCTTGTCTTGAGTGTCAGCCACGGGCAGCCGTTTGTTTGGGACGCGGCATTGGGAGAGAAGACTGGTTTGCCCAAAGCTGGCACGATGCTCGGCCCCGGGGTGGGACGAGGCCATGAGCGCACTGCTGAGGCTGTCTGGCCTGGGGGCTGGAGGAGGCCCTCGCTGGGCCTGTGAGCTGAGCCGGCTGAAGGACAGGACAGGGAAACAGCATGTCTGGAGACCCAGAGATCAGAGCACGTCTCGTCTCGGTAGAGAGACTGCAAGGAGGCTGGGGTGGGCAGAACGTACGTGCCTGACGGGCGCTGAGAGGGAACTCGGGTCACCTGTGTCCTGCGCGCAGTGGGAGCCCCAGGAGCCTGCTTCCGAAGGAACTAGGCTTCGGGGCCAGGCACAGTGGTTCCACCTGTGATCCCAGCACTTTGGGAGGCCGAGGTGGGAGGATCGCTTGAAGCCAGGAGTTCAAGACCAGCCTGAGCAACAGAGCGAGACCTCGCCTCTACAAAAAAAAAAAAAAAATGGAAAAGTAGCCAGTTGTGGTGGCACACACCTGTAGTCCCAGCTACTCGGGAGGCTGAGGATCACGAGCCCAGGAGTTTGAGGCTGCAGTGAGCTATGATGACGCCCTGCACTCTATCCCGGGCAACCCTGTCTCGGGAGGAAATAAAGAACCAGAGTAACTAGGCGGTGGGCCCAGGTTACAGATGAGACCGAGGCCTGGCCTGAGGTTGCACAGGGAACCAACAGCAGGGCTGGGAAGATTTCCCCAGCTGGGGCCACGTGCCTTGACCTTCCCTTAAACTGTTGAATCTGGGAGGATTCGCAGCAGCTGGGCCCCTCCCCCGACGTGTCCCTCCCTGCTCCCTCACCTAGCACGGTCGTGGACCGAAAGGACACAAGAGCCAGGTGCACCCCCTGAGCCTCCACTGACCGCTCGACCTCGACAGCCAACAGGGAGACCGAGGCGGGAGACTGTTGAAGGAAGCAGACTGGTGTGGGGAGGGGAACCCAAGCCTCTTGACCCCTCAGGTCACGTGCTTTCCACCTGCCCAGCTCCTCGGCCTGGCACTCAGGGCCCTGCCTGTCCCCCGGCCGTCCTTCCACCCACCAGGGCTCTCTCCCAAGGCCTGTGGGTCGTGTGGGTCAGACTGCAGTCCCCGTCCTGCAGGGGCCTCTCCTTGTGTGACCCTGTGCCCCCACACCAGCCGTCCCCGGCTCCAACGGGCTTCCCTGCAGGGTGCGCACGGCTGGCGGAGCTCTCTGGGGCTGGGGCCTCGTTCCGCCGGGGGCCCTCTGGGTGACCATGTCCCTCTTCTCGCTTCCCCTGGTGCAGAGCGGTCTGGGAGGAGGTCCAAGGGCAAGAAGAGTGACTCGAAGAGGAAAGGCCGCGAGGGCCCCAAGGACAGCCCCGAGAAGAAGGAGAGAGTGAAGCCGGGGCCCGACTCCGTGCTGGGGCAGCTGGGTGAGTAAGCGCCAGGCCGGCCCTGGCACAGGCTCCCGCCTGCACCCGACCCACTGCGCAGAGCGGGAGGCTGAGGCCCAAGGGGGTAACCGGGCCCTCCCTTGCCCGGATGCTCATACCATCCGCCCACCGAGGAGACGGGTCTCAGAGCCCCGTCTGACATCCTGGGAAGTGGGCCTTCTGTAGACCTGGGTGGCAGCTGGACCCAGCCCGCTCAGGCCCTGCCCTCTCGTCCCCCTGGCAGGGGTCCTGGGTGCTGGCACTTCCCAGAGGCCCCAGGCCAGCCCCCGCCGGGAGGAGAGGCTCTGTGGGAAATCCTTATCCCTGCCCCACTCTGCCGCAGTCCTCCACACGGGCCCTTCCTTCAGCACCAGCAACCTTCCTGGAGCCACCCAGGGAGACCCCGAGCAGTGCCCTGCCGCCCTCCGCTCTGCCCCAGGTCTCCTTCCTGCAGAGCAGCCTGATGGGAGCACTGTGACTCCCAGAAAGTCACGTGCGTCCCCCAGAGCTCTTCGTAGGGAGCGGGCGGTAGTCTCTGGCACAGAAGCCCAGGTCACCCCGTGTGTCCCCTGTCTCGAGAGGGGAGAACGCGAGCCTCCCCAGCTGCCTCCCCGCCCCTGCAAGCCCCCAGTAAAGGCAAAACGGGCCCTGATGTCCCAGAGCGGCCTTCCACCCAGACACCTCGCTGTGCCCGCTTATGCCGGCTCCTTGCTGGCGCACTGTGGGAGGAGACGCTCCTAAAATCCCAGGAGGGATGTTTTCCGCCTTTCCTCCTTCCCTGTCCCCACCAGCAGAGGGGTGGTGGCACGCTCGCTGCATGGGCGTGCAACCTGTGCAGGTAACCCCACGGGGCCCTGCGCTTGGCCTGATGCTCTGCTGCCGCCACCTTGAATTTTTTTTCTCCTGCGTGAGCGTTCTGGTAAAAACCTGCTAGACTCGTTCTCGAATTGCTTTAGCAATCCTCCCTGAAAATCTTAGAAATATTTTAATATTTGATCAAGGAGCCTACATGTACTTTACCCCCCAAATTACAAAGCCAGTCCTGGAGGCAGAACGCCCTGCTTGGGGGAGGGGTCTGTGCTGGGGCCCCCCACTCTGGCGCTGCCGGCAGGGGGACGGACCGAAGAAGGCAGTGGCCTGCGCCCAGCAGGGAGGGTCCCGGGAGGCGGGAGGGCGGGGGACACACGCCCGCCAGCGGCTCACCTGCCTGCTCTCTCCCCCGGCCAGGCCTGTCCACCCCCTTCCCCATCGACGGGACCTTCTTCAACAGCTGGCTGGCGCAGTCGGTGCAGATCACGGCGGAGAACATGGCCATGAGCGAGTGGCCGCTCAACAACGGCCACCGCGAGGACCCGGCGCCGGGGCTGCTGTCGGAGGAGCTGCTGCAGGACGAGGAGACGCTGCTCAGCTTCATGCGGGACCCCTCGCTGCGGCCCGGCGACCCCGCCAGGAAGGCCCGCGGCCGGGCCCGCCCGCCCCCCAAGAAGAAGCCGCCGCCGCCCCCAGCCCAGCAGGACGGGCCGGCTTCCCGGATGGCCCTGGACAGACCTGCTGCGGACAAGCCCCCCAAGAAGCCGGGGGGCCAGGACGCAGGCGGCGGCCGGGGCGGCCAAGGGCCCCCCACCCGGAAGCCACCACCACGGCGGACGTCCTCTCACTTGCCGTCCAGCCCCGCCTCGGGGGATTGCCCCGTGCTAGCAGCCCCCGAAAGCCCCCCGCTGCTGGCCCCCGAGACCCCTGGCGAGGCGGCCCCGGCGGCTGCTGACTCAGTCGTCCAAGTGCCTGGCCCCACAGCGAGCCCCAAGCCCCTGGGCCGGCTCCGGCCACCTCGAGAGAGCAAGGTCACCCGGAGATCGCCGGGGGCCAGGCCCGACGCTGGGACTGGACTGCCGCCTTCTGCCGCGGCCGAGAGGCCAAAGGTCAGCTTGCATTTTGACGCCGAGACTGACGGCTACTTCTCTGACGGGGAGACGAGCGACTCGGATGTGGAGGCTGAGGACAGTGGGGTGCAGCGAGGCCCCCGGGAGGCAGGGGCTGAGGAGGTGGTCCGCATGGGGGTCCTGGCCTCCTAACTCACCCCGTCCTTGCCCCGGGCCCTGCCCTGGGCCCTCCCCCCCACAAAAGGCCTCAGCCCAGTCACAACTGCCATTTCCAATCTCTGCTGAGTGTTCCAGACCCTCCAGGCTGCCACTCTGTTGTGGTTTTATTTTTAACATAGAGAGAGATTTGGATTCTACACTGTCGTCTTTCCTCCGTGCTGGCCTAGGACATCGTGATCCTTCCACGGCTCTGGCCGCTGGCACCAGGCCGGGTCCCGAGCACCATCCCTGCCGCTGCCCGCGTGGCGCCGCTGGGCTCCTGGCTGATGCAGGCAAGGGGATGAAGGGCTCAGGACTCCAGCCCGCTGCCACCGGGTGACACGGACTGTCGTTTGGGCATTATTTCCTGGCAGATGGGCCAGACCAGGGCCCACCCCGCCTTGCCCCCAAATCCCACTGGGGCCCACTCGGGGGGTCCTGCTGCACTCCACTGACCCCCGAGGAAGTGTGATAAGCGATCCCCGGCCAGAGTCCACTCACTGTCACAAGCACAACGAGCTTCTGCGAGAAAGCACCGAGGGGCACGGGGCCCGCTGGTTCCGGAGGGACCGGAGCTGTTCCTGATCGACACCCATCTCCTGAGGCCGCCCGCCCGCCACCCTCCCTCCTCGCTGCTCTGCCCCTGCCAGCGCCCAGCCCAGCCCAGCGGCTCTGGGGAGGGCTTCCCGGAATCCTTCCTGAGCTGTGCCGTTTACTCAGGGGACTCCCGAACAGCCGGCTGCCACCGCGGGTGAGGCTGCCAGGGAGGCCAGTGCCCAGATGGGGTGGTGGGGCGAAGACCAGCCCACCGCAGAGAATCACTCTGGGGCTCCAACTTCCTTCCTTCCTTCGGGGCCAGTGTCTGGGGCCACGCCCAGACAGAGCTGATGAGACCAGACCGTTTGCCTTTTCAAGTTTCCCAGTCCTGCTAAGAGATGAGCTTCTTCCGTGGTTTCCTTCTGGAAACGCCTCCTTCCAACAAGCAGTGGGATCCCGGGGCCGGGGCGGGCCGCATCGGCCTGCCGGGACTGCTGTGAGTCTTGCTGGACCTTCCCGTGTCCCTCTGTTCCTCTGAGCCTTAACCCCTTCCCCGCCACGGCCCTGCCTTCCCCGCCCCACCCTCAGCCCCAGGTCGTAGTCTGAAGAGTTTCAGTGGGGTGGCCCCAGGGTGATAGCTCAGGGAACATACAAAAGGAATTCAGTGAAACATTTTTTTTTTTTCTTTTACAAATTACTCCTGGGTCACTTCCACCACTGGTAAAGCCAGAACTTCTCCAACAAGAACCTTGCAAAAGCCCAGTGAACCAGTCGAATCATTCTGTGGATGCCAAAGAATATTTTGACCATTATACAGCACAGCCTGGACCTGACAACCTGTCACTTGGACTTTTTTAAAAAGTGGAGTTCTTTAGCAACAAAGTGTGGAAACGATGTCCATTGCACACGCTTGAGGAGGAGAGCCCGGGCTCTTGGAAGAGGATGCTTTTTCTGCTGCTGAACCGTACCTGCGTGTCGGATTCGGATCCTGGGCCAGGCCCGCTGTGAGCTTCCCCGCACTCCGGGAGTCACAGAGGGGGATCCCAACCGTGAAACCAGCATGGAAAAGTCTTTACCACGTGGTCCCAGTCCCACCCCCCCAACACACAAAGCAAATAAGCGGGATGGGGGACGGCTCGACCTTCACCCGCCCCAACTCCCAAACTATCAAGGTACGGCAGTGGCATTGTCATCAACAATGTGAATTGTCGATTTCATGTGAATTTCAGCAAAACAGGAAACAACAATGATGACTGAGTTCAGAGGACCAGACGGATCTGTCTAGTCCGAGGGGACTCGAGGGCGCGGGGTGGGCTGCGAGGATTCTGGGCTTCGGGATGGCACGAGCCACCACGTAGAGTTGGTCCGCCCGCCCGCCTCGGTAGCAGTGACCAGCGTCTGTGTCAGCGTCCCAGCCAGCCCCAGCCTCTGTTTACTGCCTTTGAACAGACCTTCCTTCTCCGAGCTTTGGGTCAGCTCGGGCCGCAGCCCTGTCTGGGCTGGATCGCCCGGCCTGACCCCGCAGGAAGCAGAGGGGTGAGCTTGAAGAACAACCAAACCCTGCCAGGGGCCAGGCTGCCAGGAAAGCTCAGGGTCAAGCAGTGTCAGCACTTGCCCCTCCCCCCTCCTCGCCATCCCGGGCAGGTGGAGAATTCAGGAGAGGACGCCGAGAGTCTGGCCTCTTTCCAGGAGGCAGCCCAGCTCTGCAGCCAGGGCCGGGCCTGGCCTGGGCAGGTGGATGGGGCAGCTGTCATCCTCAGAGAGTCCCTGTTCTAGTTTGCGCCTAGACTCCGGGCCCTCTTCTCCACTGGCTGCTGCTTTGGACCGGACTTCGCCTGGGGCCTGTGTCCTGCAGCGCCAGGATCCGTGAGGCCGGCTGGCTGGAGGCACCTTCCCTCCTAGGCCAGGCCCCGGAGCAGTCTCTGCCGGGCAGCTGTCTCCACCTCCAGGCTGTCCGCCATGCTGCACGGAGGACAAGGATGGCCTCCCGGCCCCAGCCCGCCCCCCGCCAGCCACGGCCTCGGGTCACTCTTTCCCAGCCTGCCGTCCACTGTGGCGAGGGCCCTGCTGCCCCCGAGACCGAGGCCGGGTCCTTTTCCAGGCCAGAGGCCAAGGCTGGCCTTTCTCTCTGCCGCGGCTGCGCACACTCAGCTCCTCCACCCTGGAGGGAGGGCTGCTCTGCCACCCGTCTGGCTGTCATCCCCCACGCGTGCCCCTCATCCCATGACCAAGGAAAATGTGCGAGGAGAGTATTTTTATGCATCATAAATGTATTTTGGAACAAATGAGGAGAAGAAAGGCAAAGGGTTTATTTTGTTAGAGGGGCTCTGCCTTGGCGACCGTATGTGGGCATTTGCAGTGCAAGGGCCTCCTCTGCCCAGGTTTCCAGACGCGGCTGTGGGACTGTTGGGGGCGCCAGGCCCCGGCACGTGTGTGCGTGTGAGCGCGTGTCCGTGTGTGGTGAGGGGCGCGTGTGGGGCTCGGCTGGGGCGATTCCCAGACGTTGGCAGCAGCTGCACTCGGCACTTCCTTGCTCACTGCCAGATGTGGCCGAGCGCCGCCCACGGCCGAAGCTCGGAAGAATGATCTGGATCCCCGTGGCAAGGCCCTTGGGGAGGCCACTCTCCCGTGCCCCGGCCCAGCTGGCCACATTGGCCGAGGAGCCGGGGCTGGAGCCTGGGACCCGCGGTGGTTCTTTCAGGCACTTGCTGCCACTGTCTCCCTCAGACGCACGGGTACTTTGTGCTCCGCATGGTTCGGCGGGGTGGGGGGTGATATGAATGTCACAGGAGGAGACACCCTTCTGTCTTTGTTTCAAAGAAAGTGATGTGCCATTTGTTAATATACAAGAGAAATATTGAAAATATATTGAAAAGAGCAATTTTAAATTATTTTTGGCTTATGTTGCAATATTTATTTTCTTGTATTAGAAAAGATTCCTTTGTAGAGAAAAAATGTATTTTTCATTAACGCAGAGACCTATTTCTCCTTTTTGTACATCGTCCATGTGTGCGACCCTTAACGAGCAATAGAATGTACGGCCGCCCCGTGCGGCCAGCGCCCGCCGCGCCCTGCATGACTCTGTGTTGCCGCCGCCGCGTGGCTCCCAGCCCCATCCTGTCCTGCTCACCCACCGGTGCTCCCGGCCCGCCCGCCAGGGCTGCGGTCTGGGGGCGCCCTTCGCACTCCTCGTGTGTTGGCAGACGCAGTAATAAAGCAATGTTTTCCGTGCTGGCTGGTGTGAGGCTCCGTTGCTGGGTTGGATGCAAGGGGGGGGGGGACCGAGGGTCCCGCGCACACCCCCACACGTGGGCCCAGCGGGACAGCCAGAGTCCCCTGAGCTTCCCAAGCGCCCTGCTGCTGCCTCCAAGGGAATCATGGTAGACGGTCTCAGTGTGCACACAGTACACGCCAGGGACGAGCTCCGGGGCGGGATTTCATGCGACCCTCACGGTGTCACCCCTGGCATTCAGGGAGCATGAGGGCTGCACGCAGTCACTAAGAGGGGAGGTTCCACATCAAAGGCAGGACTGCTGCGCTTTCCACCCTAGAGCTGCCTGCCTGGGACAGTGGGAGAGTCTGGGGGGACCCCCCCGGGGTATGTCTGTAGAGCAGTGAAGATCTTTGCATTCCAGCGTGGGTTTTTTTTTTGAGACAGAGTCTCACTTTGTTGCCCAGGCTAGAGTGAGTGCCGTGGCGTCGTCAGCCTAGCTCACAGCAACCTCAATCTCCTGGGCTCAAGCGATCCACCTGCCTCAGCCTCTCGAGTAGCAGGGATTACAGGCATGTGCCACCATGCCCGGCTAATCTTTTTTTTTGTATATATATTTTTAGTTGGTCAATTAATTTGTTTCTATTTTTAGTAGAGACGGGGGTCTTGCTCAGGCTGGTTTTGAACTCCCAACCTTGAGCAATCCACCCGCCTCAGCCTCCCAGAGTGCTTAGGATTATAGGCGTGAGCCACCATGCCTGGCCTCAGCATGCGTTTTATACTCACAGCACATGGCAATTCGAACTCACCCCATTTCAAGTGCTCAGAGGCACGTGGCTAGAAGCCACCACCTTGTGCAGCCCAGCCCTAGGGGCCCTCAGCTTTCCCTTGAGTGGCCTAAGATCCCCCCAGGCCCCTACAGAGTAAGGGACAGACAGCCATAGGACCCCTAACCTGTTCCAAGCCCTGGTGACTGCCTGAGGGCGGGGTCTCAGCCTTCTGCCCCGCAGTTCCCTCTGCTGTCCCTGACCCCTGGCGTTCTGAGGGCCGGACAGCACGTGTGTGTGGCTGGCCTGGCCACAGCTTCCCCACGGGGGGCCAGTTCCCTTCCAGCCAGGACTCGCAGCTGATGGCACAGGGACCTCAGGGGATCTGGATGGGGTGAGCATCACCCACGCATCCATCCCACCCTCACTGAGCACCTGCCCCGAGGCCCTGAGGGCCACTCCCAGAGAGCCCAGGCCGGCGTGGGGACAGAATTCCGTCAGACAGACCGATCAACATGCAGTTGCACGCGGAGGCTGCGCTGCCAGTGGAGAGTTTAGCCCTGGCGGTGGAGGGAGGTGTCCTCTGCCCTCCTGAATTCCCGCCAAGCCCTGCAAGGCGGGGCCTGGGGCGCCCCCTGCTGCCCACTAGGCCCCAGCCGGTGCCGCCAGCTCTGGGCCCAAGGCCCACGGGGCCAGGGCTGCCCCTGCACTCTCAGGTCCCTCAGTTCTAGCTGCCCCTTCCCTGTCCTCCCCAAGGCCCCTGCAACCAGCACTTGGCTCTTTGCACCCCTTGCCAGCCAGGGCGGAGAAGGGTTTCCTCCATGAGTCCTCGGGGACACAGAGCTGTCCAGGGACGAGATGTCCCTGGGAGAATAAGGCAGTGGCGGAGGCCCCCCAGGTGCCCAGCCCTGGTCAGGTGGGAGGCCGAGGAGCCCCAGGCCCTGCTGCTGTTCCGAGGGCCGGACAGCACGTGTGTGTGGCTGGCCTGGCCACAGCTCCCCCCCGGGGGGCCAGTTCCCTTCCAGCCAGGACTCGCAGCTGATGGCACAGGGACCTCAGGGGGCCTGGATGGGGCGAGCATCACCCACGCATCCATCCCACCCTCACTGAGCACTGTAACTGCAGCCGCTGTCCCTGCCCCGGGCGGCCAGAGGAGGCAGCGAAGGTGCCTTTTCTTGGAGATGAAGGTTTCGGAACTGGCGGAAGTGCCTCTGCCCCACGCTGGGAGATGCAGCTTGCTCAGAGCTGTCGGGCACCTGCCCTCCCCTCCCGTGTTTCCACCAGGTCACGTGGCCATGTCTGGAGCACAGCCAGGAGAGCCGACTCCTTGGCGCGGTGAAGCCAAGTGCCCCGCTACCGCCTGTGTCCGCTCGGACACCTCGCTTCGTTCCTATGGTGACGACACAGGCAGAGGGACAGAGGCTTCATGGTCACCATGTATCACGCCTGGTGAGAAAAGAGATCATACGATATGGGCTTTAGAGCAGCCTTCGGGGTTCGGGGAGACTCCCCGCCAAGACTCAGAGGGAGGAGGAAAGGCCGGGGCTTGGGCAGGCGGGGGGCTTAACGGAGCAGGGGCTTGTCCCCGGCGCTCCGAGCCAGGCCTGGGTTCAGGGGCGTCCACGCCAGCAGTTCTGGGACCCTGGGTAGAGGCGCCTGCTGCTGGCTGGGGAGACCGTCAGTGAGTAGGAGGGAGGGCTGTCGGATTTACAAATAAGCGTACAGGGCACAGAGTCACACTAGAATTTCAGACAAGTGACTTGTTCTCTGCTGCACGTTCCAAGCGGTGCGTCCTGTGCTCCCCCTGGCACTTGTGGTGGGAAGGAAGCCTGCGTCCTTCACTCCCGAGTCCGGGGCAGGGGGCGGTTGCTGGCGAGTGATTTCCCTGTTTTATAAGCTGGGTCAGACCCAAATCTCTCCCGACGACCCCCACAGTGTGAGGACAATGGGGGCTGCGGCCAGTGGCTTGGGAGCACAGGGCCCAGCCTGTGCCTGTCCTCTCTCCACCGCAGCGCCCCGTCTCACGTCCCAGCACGAGGCTGAGCAGAAGCTCTGAAGACCCTCGAAGGGACCTGCTCCCCCAAGCCCACAGCCCCTTTCTTTTTTTGCCGTCTCAGCTCAGTATCTCAAGAGGGCAAGTTGGAGATGGCAGCACTATTCACAACGACCAAGAGGTGCAAGAAAGATCAATGTCCACTGGCAGATGGGTGGATAAATGAGGCCAGGGCACAGTGGCTCACATCTGTAATCCCAGCGCTTTGGGAGGCCGAGGTGGGGGGATCGCTTGAGGCCAGGAGTTCAATACCAGCCCGGACAACAGCAAGAACCCAACTCTACAACAAATAGAAAAATTAGCTGGACGTGGCGGCATGCACCTGTAGTCCAGCCACTCGGGAGGCTGAGGCAAAGGATTGCTTGAGCACAGGAGTTTGAAGTTGCAATTAGCTATGCTGATACCAATGTACTCTAGCCTGGGCGACAGAACAAGAAAGGAAAGAAAGAACAAAAGAATGAAAGGAAGGAAGGGAGAAAGGGAGGGAGGGAGGAAGGAAGGAAATGTGGTATATATACATACAATGGAATAGTCAGCATTAAAAAGGAAGGGAATCCTGCCATGTGCTACAACATGCATGAACCTAGAGGACATTATGCGCAGTGCAATGAGCTCATCACAGAAAGACAAACACTGCATGATTCCACGGGTAAGAGGCATCAGAGCAGTCAAACTCCTGGAGACAGCAAGTGGAGCAGGGGTTCTGGGGGAGGGAGGAGGTGAGGACTGCCTGGTGGGCGCAGAGGCAGGACAGGGCACTGCCAGGGGTCTGCGCACAGCAGGGAGCGCATAGGCACAGCCTGTACCACACACGTGGAGCTCGTCCGGAGGGCCGTGTTTATGTGCTTGTTCGCTACGACTAAAAAAAAGAAGCGTACTATACTATATAGGAAAAAAACCCTGCTGCATGCAATACTCCACAACTGCTTTGTTGCAACAACAAATACAATATTAAGCAAAAGAAGCGATTTTAAAACATTAGGGGAGGCCAGGCGCGGTGGCTCACGCCTGTAATCCTAGCACTCTGGGAGGCCGAGGCGGGCCGCTCAAGGTCAGGAGTTCTAGACCAGCCTGAGCAAGAGCGAGACCTCGTCTCTACTATAAATAGAAAGAAATTAATTGGCCAACTACTATATAGAGAAAAAAATGAGCCGGGCATGGTGGTGCATGCCTGTAGTCCCAGCTACTCGGGAGGCTGAGGCAGCAGAATTGCTTGAGCCCAGGAGTTTGAGGTTGCTGTGAGCTAGGCTGACGCCACAGCACTCACTCTAGCCTGGGCAACAAAGCGAGACTTTGTCTCAAAAAAAAAACCAAAAAACATTAGGGGAAAAAGAGTTCATGTTGGGCCTCTGCTTTTCCTGGGCCCCTCATGGCTCCCCCAGCGTCCCCAACTCAAACTGAAGGCTATTTTCAAAATACTAACTCCCCTCCCTTCTGGGCTGTCTGCAGTGCTGTAGGAAAATGCAGCTGATGCAGGACTGAGGAGTCTCTGTCTGCCAGTGACGTTCCTCAGTTTCCTCATCTGTACAGTGGGAAGAAAGGTTGCAGGTATCTGTGACCTCTGGAGTCCAGCTCCTGGGGGGAGGGTCCATGGTCGGAGAGGGTCAAAGTGTTAATGAACCCCAAGGCGGGTTCTCTCTGTTGCTCACCCCACAGAAAGCCAGTCAGTGAGACGATGAAGGTTGTCAAGGAAGAAACGATGTACTGCAGAGGGTGCTTCATGTGGGAGGTGGGAGGAGGGGACTGTCTCAAATCTGCCTCCTGGACCAACGGGGTCAGGGGGTTTTTCTGGAGGTGAGATGAATAATGCATGAAGGGAGTGAGCATCATCACATGTTTGGGGTAGAGTGCCAGGCACGCATGCACAGGGAGAAATCATGCTAGTACATACGTTCCATGATCAAAAAATGGGTACGTCGCTCCCAGGGCAGGGATTTTGGTAGTAAAATGAGCTATGGTTAATGTTGGTCATTCTTCCAGCCTTGTGTGCAGGTGGGACATGGGGAGCGGGCTGCTCAGGGGTCCTTGGGCATGGTCCGGGGTGGGGTGTTGCTCATCTTGTCTTCTCTGGACAAACAGGTGGCATCAGTGCAACGGAAAGTTACGAAGCTCTGCTCAGCAAATCCCACTGAGCCTGCTAAGCCGTTTTCTGCCGACTTTCAGACTTCAGTGGCTGAGTTCCTAATGTTGAGATAAAACTC